CAACAAATAATCGAGGGAAGTGTATCGGCAAAAGAAAGAATGTGCAACTTCTGGTTGCGTTCGTTACCGCTTCAGATGTCGATCTGCACCGGCACTCGCATGCTGCCAGCCGCGGACGATGCGTGTTACGGCCGGACCGGTGGAAGTCGCCCATTGGTCTGCGTCGGTGCTTGCACACTACTTGACACCATCAACGATATGTGCTGCAGTGGCGCCGTCATGGTTGCCGATTGGTCGGCGGCGTCGACGATGAACATGATGCGGTCAATCCAAGCAGTTAACGTCAGCAGCTAAGTGTACCTTAGCAACTCCCACCCGTGGCTCCATGGCACCAATTAAATCATCATCTCCATATGGGCTGGATCTGAGAGGCCTTGGATGTGATGCCATGTATTTTGGACTATGGAAGCAAGCCAACCATGGTTGAGATGGGAAACGGAGGAGCCGGATGACGCGAGATATGAAGCGGCGATTGGTAACGGGAAAAATAGAAAACGGAGGAGCCTAGATGATATTGAGTGGGGATTGGAAAAGACGAGGAAGGGGAAAGGCCGGAGGGAAGACCTGTCATTGATAGTCCACCACCAACTGCTTTGACCACCGGCGTGGGGATTTGGTAAAGATGGGTCTTTTTTTAACAGTCAGAGAGATGGATGGGTCGGTTCACACATCTGGGAGAGGTGACGTGGCTGCATGTACATGTGCGTGATGTGGATGGCTTGCATGTCAAATTGGGTAGTGGGGATCAACTTCTTATGTATATAGGATTCCCGTTACCTATCAATCCTTACCTTTGTTGCTTAAATCCACTTGCGCACAAGCTTTGGCAGATGTGAAAGTTTTCCAATAATTTTCCACGAAAATTACAAAGGTGGTCACAGATTCTCTCCCTCTTTCAAAAATTAAATCGCTCCTCGGGTGTCAAGCTCTCCAAAACAAAAATAAAACTTGCTCACGTACGGGAGACCCCCCCCCCCCTCCAGTTGGTCGATCAGGATGAGGAACCAGTCTGGCCCCGTAAACCTGAACAATCCTTCTCCTAGAATATTCCACACATCTCCCAAGGCAAGACACAAAGCATGCACCTTAGGGCAGGACACAAGGGCGTGGAAAATACTTTCTCCTGGACACCACATATAGTGCATAAACCCGAAACAGTTTGATGATGGATTACTCTGTTTACCTAGACCGCCAAACTGTTGGTCGCAGCACTCCAAGCAAAAATTTTAATTTTTTAGGAACATTAGCCTTTCAAATAACATCCCACATTCTTTTTTCCTCATTAACAACACTACTGGATAATCCCGTCTCATCCCTATAGTCCTTGAGATTTAAAGTCAGTATGTACACACGTTTAACAGAAAACATATCACCTTTCTCATAGTGCCAAGCAACAAAATCAGCCTCTCCCACGGACTAAATGTGTAACTTTAGGATCTCTTCGGCATCATGATGAAGAACAAGTGCCTAATCAAATTTCATCACATTTTCTTGTCCCGCTTATGAACAAATCCAACACCCATTTCAGTCTAGTACAATTCTTTTTTCCTGTAATTTTTAGGCCCAAATTTCTTGGTACCCAACTATCCCTCCAAATGTTAACATTCTTACCATCAAACAATCTCCATATGATCCCATGTTTTAACAGTTCCAACCCATGCATAATATCTTTGTTGGAGAACGCAGTAATTTCAAAAAAATTCCTACGATCACGCAGGATCTATCTAGGTGATGCATAGCAACGGGAAGAGTGTGTCCACGTACCCTCGTAGACCGAAAGCGAAGCGTTATAAAGCGTGGTTTGTCGTGGAATTGTCACGGCAGATGTGGATTTAGACAGCTTCGGGCCCCGGGAAACATCATCCGGTAATAACCCTACTGTTGGGGAACACTGCATAAAATAAAAATTTTCCTACGTTCACCAAGATCAATCTATGAGTTCATCTAGCAACGAGAGAGAGGAGTGCATCTACATACCCTTGTAGATCGCGAGC